CACAAGAAATGGAAGTTTTTTTTTAATGATTGCATGTTCCAGCTCAGAGTTTGGACGTGATTTTTTTGCCCTTTGATCTGACCAATTTTTATAAATGGCCTTAATTATAAAAGTATTGGAAAAAGCATTGGAAGGCTTGTACTTTACTCATTGAGTTAATTGCTGCTGTTGCATTTGAAACTCAGCATGAAGCATATTCAGCATGAACAGAATAATTTGGATCAAATGTTCAAATGTTATTGGCCACTGCCGCTAAAATATTCTGTTCTCCAGGTATTCTCCGGTGAATTTATGACCTGCCTTCATTCTTCTTCCTCCTTTTATCTTTTGACAGCACTAAGTCATTTTCTTCACTTTGGCCTTTACATGTTGTGGATTGATAACAACAACAATAAATTGTATTTGGAGAGCACCTTTCAGGTCAGGGGGACCCCCAAGGGACTGGACAATCTAGAGTTTCAAAGACAAAGAGGGCATATGGGACGCTCTGGGACGCTGCCTTGTGTGAGGGGCGCTATATAAATGCAAGTTGTTGTTGTTGGTTAAATGCTCCCTAGACTTGTACAGGTGCTATCTCTAAGCCTAAAATATGCTAGAGTTGACCAGGGATGCATCTCTCTAGTTTTTTCTTCACTGCCCAGGAGATTGTGTCTAGAGTCTGCATTGTATGTTTCAACAGTAGTTTGAATGAGTTCAGGACATCAGGCAAGTGGGAGAATCAAACATTCATCCAACCATTCAGTTTATGATGCCCTTTCATACTACTGCTTCCACACCAACTGTTTTACAACTTACCTCCAAAGACACTGGAGACAATTTATCCTTCCTAGATAGGATGGGTTTTCCCAATGGTGTACTAACAGCAACGTGGGGTTTCAAATGTGCTGCTAGAACGATATTTTCACGTGACTTCAAAAGAAATACAAAGTTTGATTCATAGGTGCTTTCTGAATGCAAAGGGTCCTGAAAATCCTCATGACCTTGGATTCAAGATCATTGTCTCAATATTTAACACTGTGCAGACTGTTAAAAATTTCATTTGGAAACTGGTTGTCCACAGTTCTTAAAATGTTTGAGTAAACTCAGTTGCAAAATTAAGACTGAATTGAAGAATTTTTAAAATTGCTGTTTGTAAATCTTAAGACAAAATGCTGAAAACGTGAGATATTTCAGGCTACAGAACTCAATGCAAAATATAGAATAATATATGTAAAATAATGTCTGGTAGTTCCTTACAGTGAATATATAACTGAGAACATGTTAATCTACGACAGAATTAGAATTAGACAGATGACAATCAACCTCTTCTATTTCATTCTCCGGAGCAATCTGCCTCTTATTATTAATTATTAATTATTTATTCCATTATTACTTTTGGTTCTGGCCAGGTTGTTGGTATGCCTTGTTTCGATGGAGTGCGCAAATGAAGCCCCACGTGTGCTCACTGCTGTAATGGGAGATAGTTAAAGCAATGTAATTCATTTAATGATGCCCACTGTCTCACAATGAGGCGATCACGCACTTTCATTTCAGTGTCCCTGAAGCTGCTTGATAAGCTTCCAGCAGAATGTGTAAAAAGCTCCAGTAATTATATTCCCATATTTTATTATGACCATAGCCTTCAAAGGTTAAAAGTCGGCATTGTACATCCTGATTGCACCGCTTATCCTATGCATTCCTTCCAATTTGACTGCGATTACACATATTCACACTGAATTTTATACATTACAACAGTTGTGGTGTGTGAATGTCACCTGTCGAACTCAGCATTCACAGAAGTTTGAAAATTCACCAAGTTTTAGCCTGTGAGACCCTTTTGGTCTTAAAATTTAAGATTTTCTAAAGCAGAGTTGTGCAAAATTCTTATAGTTAGTCGCCATTTAGAAGCCGGTTTTCTGCAGGTCCAAATGAAGATTGAATTTAAGAATGAAGCACAATTCAAGACACTTATTTTTGTCGACTGCCCTTGTAATCTGTTGCTTCTAAAATTCCCATGCAATCAAGCTTGAAATGAGTGGTTGAAAGGATGGGATACGTTAAGGAGTGGTACAGTGCCAACAAACTTGGACTTCAAAAGTTTGTTGAAAAAGGAATGTATGTACATTGTTCCACCGTCTTGAGATCCTGAGAAAGAACGAAGGAGAGTGTCTGGAGTTGGCTCAATAAATTTCCACAGCAGCAACAACAACAGCAATATTACGTTTGTATCGCGTCTTTTCACATTGGGAGGATGTCCCAAGGCACTGGACAGACAGAGTTTTGGACCTAGTATAGCATAGGATTGCATAGTATAGCGTAGTAATGATCAGGATTTCAAAGAGTTTGAAAATCAAACCATGTTATGTATTGTATGCATTTTTTTGTAGTTGTCTTCACTGGTGAAACCACTTGTGGGTAGAACACAAACGGAAAGTTCAGAGGAGCAATGACCATAGGAGCTTTGATTAAAATGCTAATGATAACTTTGTGAATCCATACAGTTCTCTTGCAGCAGTTAATGGGCAGAGTGCTCCATTTAATCATTGAAGGAGGATCATATCTGCCCTCCCATGGAGTCCTATCGCTTGGGACCATCTTTAAGACAACTGAGATATGTCAGACAACTTTGATCTGTATGATCAAAGCAACCTCTTTTTAATAGACTCCAATAATCCATTTAATAGGTTTTTTGTAACAGAAGTGTGAATCTTCTTCCTCTTTGTTTCAGCTGCATTTAATTTTATTTATCACTTAGCATCCAATTTTTATTTTATTGAAAATAGGAAGGTTTGTTTGATAAAATAGTAATCAGAGTCACTATCTTAGAATGGCCAGTGAGGGTGATGTGGTCACTTCGCTGTAAGGTTACAGGTATGAGAGAATGTAGTTACAGTCGATCCCAAGGTCTGTGTCAGAGGATAAAGTAAAAACACCATGATTAAAAGTCAATTAAAGTCAAGCTTCAAATTGTTCTCGATCTATTCAAAAGAACTTAAGAATATTTTCTTTCTAAAGGAAAGCACCCAGGTGAAGGGTCAATGCAAATTTGAAAGCATCCTCTCTACCACTGCTTGCGAAAACTGGATTGTTTTAAAAAAATTGTCAGCCCTGATCTGAATACTGGGTAAACGGTATTTTACACAGAGAGTTGTTACGGTCTGGAATGCACTATCTGAAAGGATGGTGGAAACAGATTCAATAACAACTTTCGAAAGAGAGTTGGATAGGTACCTGAAAAGGAAAAATTTGCAGGGCTATGGGGAAAGAGAGGGGAAAGGGACTGATTGGGTAACTCTTCCAAAGAGCCTGCACAGGCACGATGGGCCGAATGGCCTCCTTCTGTGCTGTATTATTCTATGATTTTATGAAAACCTACGCCAAACATGACGAGGGATGCTCTGGGATTAAAAGAAAAATCTGTCAGGATAATTCAGAATGATTCCTAGACACGTGCAATGTGCAACACTTTAATACGGAATAGTAGTTTGTCAGACCAGCTCATAGGAGCTCTTTCCCCCGATCCTGTCTACATTCAGGGTGTAGTCACCATGATGTATGTCTGGTCACCGGCTGGAGACTTCAGTTGGTTTCCTTATTGAAGAATCCCGTTAGAAATCGCTGCATTGTTTTTCCTCCGTACTTGCAACAAAAAAAATCCTTTAAATTAAAAATAACCTTTGCTAAAATTTAAATATGTTCAGCTTTAATAGGACTTCTTACTTCTTTCTCTCCAGCATGCAATCACACAGAAGCCTCATTAAAATTATTTCACTGATGTGCTGCACAATTAAATGATGTTCAACTCTTTATTAATTCATACTCTTTTAAGGCAGTTGGTGTAACATGAATAGGAAGTTGGAACGGCTGTGGTTAACCCCCTCAATACCTCCTGATAGTAACCGGCTACTACAAAGAGTCCAATTTATCTTTTCCCCCTCCTCCATCCCCAAGGTAGAATACTTCTATTCAGTTCAGAAGAAATTGAGTTTACCTTAAAAATTTAAAAAACTAACAACTTTAAATTAGAGTCAATGCATTTAAAACTCCACCCTTATTCTGTTAAAAAGTCCCAAAGGACATATTTTGCTTGACATAATTCTCCAACAAAACTTAAGAACTAATTAGGTCCTGAAGGAGAGTTAGAGAATCCAATGAGCTTTATTGTGTGGAGATAACAGAGTTGAGCTGTTACCTCTTGAATATTATTCTCACAGAATTACAATATTATAACTCCAGTAATACAGTTTACTCATAATTAATTTACTCCCAACACAAAAGGCACTGTATAAGTTTGTAGTGTATTTGTATTGCTGAGTTGCATTTGGTTTTGATTTGAGACTCCTTCTCTTGCCTCCTTCAAGACACATCTCAAGACCTTCCTCTTCGACCGTGCCTTCGACCACTATCCTTCCCTCCCTGCCCTCCACCCTCCCTGATCCCAATGCCTTCCCCCACCCCGCCCGGTTGGGTCCATATCCCTGACTTTCCAGCGCCATGGGACATTTCTCCCGATGTGAAAGGCACTGTACAAATGTAATTTTGTATTGTATTGTGGTTTGAGGAAATTCATGACAAAATCTGCAGCCAGTAAGTCACGATGGCAATCCAGCTATGGAGGGCAGGTGAGGCACGCTTCGTGAACCACAAGATTACGAGATGTGAAAGTAGTTGAAGATGCCCCATTTTGCTTTATTTTACAACATCTTTCATAGAATACTAAGTGCAGGATGAAGCTATTTGACCCATCATGAATAGATGCAGCTACCTCTTCTAATCCCATTTTCCTGTTCACTTTCCAACCCCTTTACATCTTTATTCTTCAAGTGTTTAGTTAATTCTCTCTTAAATGATATAATTGATTCGGCTTCAAGAGCCACTTGTGGTAACGTGTCCTGCATCCTAATAACCCTTTAATTCAAAGAGTTTCCTGTCGCACCCTCACTTTAATGCTTCTATTAATAATCTTGAATTGATATCCTATGAAGCTAATTTGGAAATGTTGCTGTGTTTTTTTTGATCAGTACCCGAAGATGCACCTATGAATGTCGCCCTTGAAGTCATGAACAGTACAGTAATCAAGGTGACCTGGTCGGAAGTACAAAAAGAAAAGATTCGTGGGCATCTAGAAGGTTATAAGGTAAGGTCATTGCTGTATGATTGAGGAATAACCCCCTGTTTTAGACATATTAAATCCTTGGCTCTTTGAATGTGAAGCTATTACGGAGTAAAAATTTCCATTCCACATTACTGAACACAATTGCTTTTGGTGATGTTGGTCTCTAATGGGATTTCCTAGTGTAGTCATAGTCGTGCATCACCAAAGACTCTCTTCGTAACGCTGAGTGGATTTTGTTTTTACTCACGAGAATGAAATAGGACCATCACAATTTGATATGGTTCTGATGTGATTCTGTTCCAAGCATCACTTTCTCTCCACTCTTGCCCGTTCTTTACTGCACCCCGCACAAACAGTACACCAACATTGGGAGTTGCGAGCGTAGAACCCAGCCTTGCAAAGCGGATGTAACATCAGCCGATTGATTTTCAGGCGTGTGTGGTGTTCTTTCGTTCTCAGGGGGCACAATATAACTGTGTCAAAGAGCGAAAGTGGTCGAGGCTGCAGGGAAAAATCCATGTGATTAACCTGATTAACCGAACCGGTAACTGCGGCGAGTAACTCGCAGAGAACTGGAAATGTGCTTTTCCATTTGAGGAGTAATTCCTTTTTTTTTCAAGTCAATATTTGCACTATAATCACGTGCGCAGATTGGTGTGATCCGACTAGGAGCCGAAGGCTTTTAGCTGTCAATATACTATCCATAAAGGGAAACGTTAAAATGCTAAATAGCTTTGCAGAGAAAGTGGTACGCAGAGAATGTAAAAGTTGCCTCCTTTAGGATTCAAGGTCATCTTAAAGGGGAGTTTGTATTCTTTTATTTTTCATTGTTTTTTTTAAAAGGTTTACAGTGCCCATCTTCAGTAATATGTAGATGCCGAAAAGTGCCGAGGACTATTTAAACCTGATCTTCTCCTTTCATTTGCCCTTCAGTACTGGAGGATTTTGCACCCTCCTCTCATTGTCTCCCCTTTCAATAACACCCATAATAATAATAATAATAACAATAATCCTTGCATTTGATACAGCGCCTTACCATGTCGTTGAGACGCCTCAAAGCGCTTCACAGAACATACTGTAAAAGTGAATTGACTATGTTTTGTGGGCAAAATGTTAGATACTTCCAACACCATGATTTAATCATTTGTAACCCAAATAAATGGTGCAAATTGTACAAATACAGCATGAATTTGTTCATAATTTTTGATCAGATACGCTTTCGCACATGAATTAGCAGCTAACTGTTATGGGGGTAAAGCCCATCAAAGCCGGCTGAATCTTGTGCGTGCAGCATGAGTAACTTGTCATCTGCTTCTGCCCAACCATGTATTCACTTTTGCTGTATATCAGTGCTGCTCGTTCAGTTGCTAAACTGAAAGAAACGTTCAGCCTCCTGCTTAACCTTATTTCCAGTCCCAGTTATTGCATCGTGAAGATCTCAAACCAAATGGTTGAATGCTTCGTGAATCCCCATTTTCGACAGCCACACTGTTTGTGCCCTATGCCTGCCACTTCCACACAGTGCTTTCTAACCAAACCCACGCTAATGTACTCCAGGGCATTGCTGCTGACAGCACAGCCAGGTTGACTCATCGGCAGGTTGTGGAAAGGGCAGACCAGTCCCTGGGGTTGGGGATTCTTACCACTCAGCTCCCATTAACCCTGCGAGCTAAAACTCGTAATATGTAGCGTGGTCCTAGCTGGACAAGCAGTGGGAATGCTCTCAATGGCAATCTTTGTGGTTTTAGCTGGTTAAATACTCAGATGTCCCCAAGCCTTGGTTTTTGCCAACCTTGCCTGATACTTTCCGGAATTAGGTAAGCAGGTTGCATCACTCTAGGGAGAGAGTGCACATTCCATCCCAACAAATACCTATAACATTTTCATGTATGGTGAGATGCATGAAACTCTCGGTTTGTTTGGGATATTCTTAAGCATAGCGATGGGTTTCCGTACGTGTCGTACACCCGGCTGACCAAAAAAAATGTACTCCTTCACTGTGGATGCATAGTGAGCCCAGAGATTTCAGCAGTCAGAATAATAATTTTTGGTTCAACTCTGGCAGGGTTTGTAGCAGATACGCATATTTCATAACCTGAATAGAAAAACAATGGCTTGTAGTTAATCTTAGGCTAACAGTTAAACACAAGAAATCACTCATGTTACAAAACCAAACCACATGGATGATGTGGATCAACAATAGCATTTGGCCTTTGTATGTATTCTAAAAGCCAACACAGTGAGCAAGATGGAAGATTTCTGAACCTATGTGAGGTAGGAACAAAAGAAAGCAGACGAGTGTTAATATATCATTTGCTTGTGATGGTAAATGATGAAGCACGGTTTTAAAATGCAGTTGTGCCTCAATGGATTTTTCGAGGTGACATCTGTATTTAGGCGGTGGAAACAGATCAAGCGAGTTTGCTGCAGTTTTGTTTGTAGTTCGTATCTGGGGAATATTTGGTGGAGATGCAAAACTGTATATGTTGAACTCGATCCTTGGCATCCTTCCTCGTAGTGGTACGCTTGTTTGTTGATAAATATTCATCGATTCAGCTGAGTGGGAGAATTAATTTTGAAGCCCATTGCAATTAGACATAGCAAATTCACTGCTGCTGCTGTCATGTGCTGATGGATAAAAGTGCAGCTCAAATCTAATAAGAAGACATTGGAATACAGTTCTTGAGACTCTAGATTAAGAAGTATTTTGCTTCGATGCACAATAGACAGTGTTTAGCCCGGAAGCATTTGCTGCTGCTTTTTCCAATCTGTGGAGGAGATCGGAACACTCACGAGAAATAAGCACAAGCAGGGTTTTTTCACGTTACTTTTACAGGTTGAATAAATGTGTTTGAGTATTTCTGTTGTATTCTACGTATAAAGGATAAGCTCTTTCTTTCTGTGTTCCACTTGAAGAAAAAGGAAAGCTTCACCAGTGGGATTGCAGTCTTTTCTTGAGTAGCGCAGCAGGTAGTGAAGTGGAAACGTTATTGATACAAGTTGTTTGTGCAGCTTTGCTCTTGCGATATTGATATAGTTTTCAGCATTGCAAGTACAAACTTAAGATGTACAAGAGTGCTTGGGCCAGGGAGACCGAAGTCTCCAGTGACCTGCCTACAATCTAAGGGTTAATGATGTGCGCACGAGCACCTGGATTGTTTTTCTCGACTGAGGCAGGATTTTATTTTGCCATTCGTTTTATAACAGGACTCTCTCCCAGTGGAATTCTTTTGAAATGTTGTTTACCTTATCAGATGAGTGAATACAGAGCAAAGTTCAGTATGTCACTGACAGCATGACGGTGAGCACCTGACAGTCCGCACAAAGGAGTCTGCTCAAATAACGTAGGAATTGACTGTTCGATTGATGGACCAAATTGTCTCAGCTCCACATGGACTTATAAAGGACCCTAAAATTCCAGTGCATTGGAAGCATAGTGAGCATACAATTAAGTAGACCATTGTATATGCCCACTAGGTTACTCCAATGCAATGCTTTTCCTTGCTCACTGCTTATACCCCCACTCCTCCAAAGGCACAGACGAAGCGGAAAAACTTCAGGTGTGATTGAAGACAGGCAAAGAGGGGACAAGGCGGAGGGATTGAGGCAAGTTCTAGAGATTAGGGGCATAGTGTCAGAAAGCACGGTCACCATTGGTGGAGTAGAGGGGACAATGGACGTGAAGCAGACCTGTGCGAGCTGAGTGATGGCAGCCAACAGCGGAGTGCAGTGTGAGCAGATGGGAAACTGAATCCGAAGCCCCTGTTTGTGTCTAAGTCTGTGCTGCGTTAGTCAACTATTCCAATCGTCCAGGCAAGGACTGTGAAGCAACATTGCATCCAAGGATGGCAATGTTATTTACTTGCAATCTTGTAAACGTGGATTTACAAGATAAATGTAAATGTTGAACATTATTTATAATATAATAATAATAATAAGCCTTGCATTTGATATAGCGCCTTATCATGCCATCAAGAGCCGTCTCAAGGCGCTTCACAGAATACGCTGTAGGGTGTAGTGACTGCATGTTTTGTGGGCGAAACACACTTATTTATTTGTGGGTGAATGTTATTTAGTTTCAATGTGCTCCACACAGTGCCACTATATTTATTTGACTGTTGTCCAAAAGATTGTGATTTGTGCTTTGGTTAGAGCACACTGTTCAACAAGAATTGGCAGAAGCGACGTTGATATATCACTTGAGCTGTGCCTCTCGCTAGCTTATACCAACCCCATCCAAAGCTGCACAGTGACTTGATGAAAGTAAAGCATTGACCAGCTTTGCCTTATTATTGTCAGCACACTGCCCCACGAGGAATCCATTCAGTGATGTCAGCTTGTTACAAGTCCACGAATGACATTATTCATCCATGAGAAAACTGAGTGCACCACTGGAGAGTGGATGTATTTGTTCAATAGAAGAGTTAGTTACGTCAGTTCTGTAAGGAGTAATATAGCTACAACTAATTCAGACCAGTGCCTAATGTGCATCAAACTGCATTAGCAGCTGTGTCTGTCTAAAAAAAAACGAATAGGAATAGCTATTCCAATTCCACTTTGATTACTCGCACCAATATCACATGGTCTTATTACTGCAAGTACATGCAGCTAAATGGATTAAGGATGAACATCTATTCGTCAAGTTGTAGGAAGGGATTATTTTTATTATCTCCGATGGATTTGCCTAATTCCCGAGATATGTTAGACGAAGCCCAGAAAATTGGGTTTGCTGCTTTTCATTTGAGGTGGGATCATTTTTTTTCGAAAAAAGGGAAATGGCGCCAGGCTGAAAATGGCCGTCCGACTGGCTTGCTATCAACGCCGATAAAATGCCTGTTGCATCATTCAAACGGGGCACCTGCCTTGCCTGCGGATACGCAGAGAGAGCCACTTGGGACACATCTGCCACTCAAGACCGCGGCTCGAATCCGTCCCTGTCGCTTCTATTGATGCTGCCCAGCTAATTGGACCCATCTGTCAATCAGCTCAGTGTGTATTAATTACAATACTGGCAGCCACAC